TTCTTTTTTCATGAAAATGTGGCTGGCAATAAGTCTTTTCTGGAGAAACTGCCAGATTCAGTCCTGAAATCCAGACATGAATGCTCTCTCTCCTCCAGAACAGCTTCACATAGACAACAGTAACAGTAGGATCAAGTGCCCACCAATTAGCAAAACATGTCTCATATCAGCTAGGTGCATACTCAACCCTATCTCCTGTCTCAATTCAGTTTGAATGTTGATCACAGCAGTGAACGATTTGGGTAAATAATGCTATACAAGTGAACACCATTTATTGAGATATTTTTCAGTGTTGTATTTGGATGTATAGCCCTATAAACTCTTGTTGTTTAGAAATAAAGTTTCAATCACAATTTTAGAGTAAATCATGAATTTCTTTGTGGACCTCAAATTAATAGTGGGCATAATTTTGCATAGTGGAATTTGTTCTTTTGTCCTGATAGATTTTTCTTGTAGGTGTTTTCATCAGAATGTATCCGTCTTCAGTAAAGCTGTTTATCATGAGGAATAAAGTCTAGAGACGCTGTTCTTAGTGGAGATATAACATTACAGACTAAGTTTATCCTCTCATCATATCTTTTTAACACACAGATATGCATTTGTTCTGTATTTTAAAAAGTGATAGCAGGATGCCTGGATGGATCAGTTGGCTAAGCGTCCAGCTAGCTCTTAATTTTGACTCAGGTCGTGATCTCACATTTGATAAGATTGAGCCCCACGTCATTTGATAGGCTCTGCTCACAGCACGGAGCCTGCTTGAAATTCTCTCTCTCCCTCTCTCTCTCTCTGCCTCTCCTTACTTGCACTCTAAATAGTAAACTTTTTAAAAAAGTGATAGCAAGTGAATATGCAGCAAATTCCACCATTAAAAGTTGGGGGGAAGATGCCTGTAAGTAAGGAAAAAAAGAACAAAAATACACGAGTTTCTCTACTTTCTAACCCACCAAATGGTGTCTCTGGAATAACCCTGGCTTTTAAAGAAGTTAAATAAATTGGGATAACTTCTTACTATACACATCCTTTCTCCCACCCGTCCTGATTACATTTTTGTCTCTATAACATGTTGGTGTTTTACATGGAGCATGATGAATTAAGTTTCAGTGCCTTTATTTCTTGAATTCTATTCACGTCATTTTTTCCCCTAAAGGTAAGGAGACCTAGATATTTTTAGCAGACATTTTGAACAAGTACAGATGCTTGCTGCATGAATGTACAGGCCACTCTGATTTAGGGAAGACCAACATGGCACTTTGACCTGTGAGTGGTTAAATGCACAGTTAGGGACATTTGTCTAAATGGACATTTATGTAAAGCTAATGCTTTTGCTTGATTACTATTCTGTCTCTTTCAGCAGGTTGTCTCTTTTCTGGAAAAGGTTATAAACATCAGGGAAAGTATACTGAAGAATAGAATTGATTAATGTGACATATTTGAGTTTCTTTCTACCACTCTCTCAACAGCATGTCATAGAAAGACAGCTACAAACACAGTGAATTAAATTTAAATTACACAGCTTTGGCTAGAAGATTGTTCCGTTAATTCAGCCTCCAAAATGAAATTTGATTTTTTTTCCCTACACTGAAGCCACTTCCTGATTTTTCATAGAGTGATGATTTCTGCCAAGTCATCTATTGATTTGAGATCTTTTATTCAAAAGACTATTGCTGGTTTTCCATTTCTGAGAGAAAAAAAAATGAAAAACAAGGATGTATATTCATTATACCAGAAAAAGTATATTAAAAATTAAAATACAGTTTTACAATAGGGTCGTATTTGTACCGTAATTTTTTTTCTACTCAAGGAGGGCTATCCAGTACTATTTATTTCATGACATTTTTTGTTATCTTAGGTACTATGTTTTGTGAAAGATAACACTGAGAACATTCTCACACTTTCTGTTTACTGTGGAATTGTTCCAGAAGAATGTAGAAAATAGGTCAACTTTTTAAAGAAAATTTAAGTTGGGTGGCCTAAATAATTTAGTCTGCATGAAACACTGTCCACTGAGTCACACATTTTTAGTCCATGAATTTATTTTGAGAAGCAGCCTTCGTTATTTATATTTGATGTTTGATTTCTGATTCAGAATGTAAAACTAGCTGTGAGAGATGGAAGCTTAGTTCAACCAAGTACCAAGATAGCTACTGTATTTTGATATAACTACTTAACATGAGATCTGAAAAGTTGAAAATAATTCACACATAAAACTTCCGGCTTAACGTCTAAAATTATATTATTTAAAAATATAGTGCTAGAAAAGATGAAATCAGTGCTATATTTATTGAAATAATAACAATAATGTAATTGTTGATAGTATCACAGCTTTATAAGCATTTGCAGTGTGGTCCTGTTTTTGTGACTAATCCTTACAACAATAGGTACTCTTAGGCCCTCCATTTTTTTCACAGGCAAAAAATTAAGGCGCAGAACAAGTGTTACACTTCTAAAGCAGGGTTTCTCCACCTCTGCACCACTGACCTTGTGGCTCATAAAATCCTTTGTTGTGGAAGGGCTGTCATGCGCATTTTAGGATCTTTAGCAGCTTCCCAGGTCTCTGCTCATCAGACCCCAGTTGTAGCACACTGCCTCCATCAACCCCCCCCCCCCCCCCCCCCCCCCCCCCCCCCCCCCCCCCCCCCCCGCCCAGTTGTGACAGCTGAAAATGTCTCTCCTCCTGCCCCAGGTGAAGGAGGAGAAAGGGGGCAATACCACTGCTGGGGTGTGAAGTACTGGGTTAAAGAATCTATTCTCATTGCCAGGTAGTATTCCATAGTATGTACAAACCACATCTTCTTTATCCATTCATCAGTTGATGGACATTTAGGCTCTTTCCATAATTTGGCTACCTTGAGAAGGTAACAGAAGGCCATGGGGGAAGGGAGGGGAAAAAAGAGTTACAAACAGAGAGGGAGGGAGGCAAACCATAAGAGACTCTTAAATACAGAGAACAAACTGAGGGCTGATGGGGTTAGGGGAGAGGGGAAAATGGGTGATGGGCATTGAGGAGGGCATTTGTTGGGATGAGCCCTGGGTGTTGTATGTAAACCCATATGACAATAAATTATATATTTTTTTAAAAAAATAATCTATTCTCATCCTTCTCATCCTCCTCTTCCCCTGTCAAGAACAGAACAACAACCCTATACTGATTTCATGAATACAGTTAAAGTTCCTCAAGGAAATGAGAAATTCTTTTGTAACCTTGAAAGTAGCTTGAAAGAACTTCTACTGTGGTTGAGAAAAAAGTAGCTTTCCACTTGAGGTTGGCTTTAAAAAAAAAAAAAAAGGCAGATAATCTGCTCTGGGGTGAACTGGAACAATTGACCTGCAAGACCTCATAATCCAATAACTTGCTATTATCAAGTCAGTTTGGATGTTATCCTGCAAAATGTGCTCATGCCAAGAGGAGGCTGGATTCTGCCTTTTGAAGCTCACTTTAATGAAAGATACCTGCGTGACCATCACACCAATTGCTGGTAGTTACAACTGACATGAACAGTTTCAGTTCCAGGAAAACTGATATTTTGAGCTCCCTCTTTTAAAATAGTAGCAGCAAAATAAATGAATCCAGTCTCCCAACTGTCTCTCAGGGGAATTAAGAACAAAATAACATGAAACCATCTCAAAATGGTACTTAAATGCTCGTATTTATTTAAAGTTACCTCATGAAGCCTTAGCAACTGAACAAATTCTTTATTTGAATGTGCAGCAGAATGTCCCTGCACTTGGAAAAACTTTAGGCTGAGTTCTTGTCACAAAAGTGTATCATCTTTTATCTTCATCATTTTCAAGGTGGCGCAGTTTTCCTGAGATTGATTTATTTATACTTTAATCTCTGACTATATTAAGTGATCCCTTAATTAAAGTAAGTCATGCCACATTTCTTTTTTTTTCTTTAATATAGGATCTCTATATATTATTGTGATTCCATTTTTAAATCAGGATTTCATCAGGGTTGGTGTTCTGAGTATTGTCTACACAATTATAATCCCCTTAATCCTTAGCCAATGTAATGAGACATTTTCTGTCATATATATGTTGAGTTCTGTACTTTAGCATTAGCCAAATCTGATGCAAACCTTCCCAGTTTCCATGCAATATCTATTCTGAGTTTACTGCTGCTTGTAAGTGGCAGTAAAGAACAACCTTTGGTGCTTGTAAATGTGTTGATGATGTGACCAACTGCTAGGATTTACATACTCTGCTTTTTATTACAGTGATGGTTATCTTTTTTTGCTGTAAGTGCAATGAAGCAACTAGAATGTCACAGAGAAAACTGTCACCTCCATCCTCTTGCCATAAAATATCATCCTGCTATACGCTTCTCATTTATCATGAAACCTCAATAATGAAAAGGACAATGGTGAAATGACATCTGCTACCTGAGTATTGCAAAAATAAGAATCAAGTGTGAAATCTCCCCACCCCCAATTCCTTAAATGGATATTTGCTTCCCTTTAACACATCAGTGAAATATATTCTCTACTTAATCTGTGTTTCCTAATAATGACAAGCTATATCTCAAAGATTCATCAAATTCTACCTAGTCGTGAATATAAAAGGTTATAGCTCTTCTGCTTTTAGGAAGCTAAGCACAAGTACTGCATAAAGCCTACTGATGCATACTTTGTAGCACTCCAGGGTTGTAATAAATTTCCAGTCATCTGCTTCTGGCAGGTTGTTTTAAACCTCTGTATGCTGCTGTGTGCAGCTATTCTGTGCAGTTGAATGGATGGGTATCTATAAGTTGGCTACGACCACTTCTGTGCCCTTATGTAAAATAAGCTGTAATCAACTTTTTACAAATATGTGAATTCTTTCATGAGAGATCTAAAATAGATTGAAAAATGTGGGCTCTGGGTTGTCATAAAGAGAAATAATGAATTGGGTTTCTCTACCTATCAGGAAAACACAAATGTGTTTCATGTGTCAATGAGACAAAGATAAGAGCATCTGTTATATCCCTTTAAATTAATCTACTTAATGTGATTCTTTTACAGACCACAGATGACATCCTTGTGGCCTCAGCAGAATGTCCCAGCGACGATGAGGACATTGACCCCTGTGAGCCGAGCTCAGGTGGGTTAGGTTAGTCGACTTTTTTTCTTACTTTTTTTGCTTTACTCTAAATCTTTGTTGCATGCTTTGGTCCTTAGAAGAGGCTTGCATTTATATCTAGAAGTCCACCCCATTGAACAATGCCTTATTGTGAGATAAGGGGTTTTGCTTTTTATGTGGATAAATTTCCCCACATTTATTGAAAAACAAATTTTAAAAACAAAACCCACCAAGATTATGTATTTCAGAAGAAGCAGTGGGGGACAGCACACAAGGCTGATATCTTACTGTTCACATTCCATTAACTCACAATGTAATTTTTGTGTATAACGGTATAATGGGCTTTCCCTTGGGTCACCTGTAGTAAAATTGTAAAGCTTAAAAATTGCCCTGCATTGTGGAGAATTATTTGACCTTTCTACTGACAAAAAGTCCCCACCACTCATTCTGCCAGCAAATTATCTTAAGTGATAAATTTCTGAATTTCAGAAGTAAGAGTATTATGGCAGTAGTAAAACAAACAGCAGGTAGAATCCTTGCTACATTGAATAGAGAAATATTTGAGTCTTGCCATGTCTCCCTAAATTTAAGTTGAGGCGTTTTAACTCTATTTGATGCATAATTTCTCCTCCTTCTTTGTGATATGGTGTGACTGACTAACACATAAATACTGTTTCCAAAGCAGCTCTGTACCTTTAAGGGGTGGCTATGAACTCTGAAAATGAATCATTCATAGGCTGGGTTTGCTTTCAGATATTCATAATACCAAATATCAGGGTCATTTCCATTAGTTTCCTCTGTAAAGCAGTGTTTCTTCATATTCAATAATTTTCTTGTTTAGCTGAACAAAGCGAGTAAGATAAATAGAGACTAACCCTATAGAGTTAACTAACACTCAGTTAACTCGTGACCTCTGTAGCTGTCACATGGAATCCCAGAAAACTTCATGTCACCATAAAATAACTAATTTATATTCTTCTGAGGAATATCGCTTTAAATTAAATCTATTCATTTTGGTATTTGGATTTAAAAAATGGTTCAGGATGCATATCTTGTGTCCCTTTTGACTATCACAACCCACTGACCTGTAGCCACACACTCTAAGCACATGGAACCACTACTGGGGGCCAGCAAGGAGCTTCTCACCTTTCAGCTGGAGAAGGTCAGGAGATACAGACATGTGTTCGTATCCTCTTTCCTCTGGCCTGTATCCCACCAATCAAAAATTTCAGCCTCCAGAATGTGATTATAACTCTGAGGATCATCCATTCCATTCCTCTGGTTTACTGGTCTCTACAACAATTCCCTTTTGGTTGTCTGGACAGATATGGTCACTTTATGATATGATCCTAGGTCCCTTTGCCAAATTCCTGCCCCCTTTTCACTGGTATTCTCACTCTTTCTGTGTTCATGAAAATTAAAAATTTAAAAAAAATAGTTGTTTCTTGTCCATTATGTCAGCCCCATTTGTTTGCCTTCTCCCTCCCTAAATTTCTTCTTTCTGTATTTCTCTTACTTTCACATGCCCGATTATGACATTCTGTTTTATATCTGGTTTTCGCTAAGATCCTCCAGCATGGATTGTTCATAAAACAAAGTCTGGTGTTAGGTTGTATATTTGTGTGTGTGTGTGTGTGTGTGTGTGTGTGTGTGTGTGTGTGTGTGTTTATATTTATATTTGATTTTGCTTTCCTAATTAGTATTTTCTTGAGAGAAATTGATTTTTGCATTATTTTTCACTATGTTAACATAGTGCTGAAAACAGTATAGATTCTTATTAATTACAGTACTTACTGTACTTGGTTTTCCTCTGGTCTCAATCTTTCTTCTGCTGACTGAGTATAGGCTATCATCCTCTATGTATATATAGCATCCTTACCCTGTGTACCTAGGAAATTCAGTAAGAGAACTCTAATTGCACTTAAAATTGTTGCTTTTTTTTCCTCTTGAGCACAGCTAAGTGACCCAGTTCTTCTAGCCATTGCTTATAGGTCCTGCTAACCATTCTTTATAGATTAGTTTACTGCCTCCGCCTTTCTCTGGGGACACTGGTCCTAACAACAGGACAGTAGGTGGTGGGGAGGAGAAGAGAGGAGAAAAAGAGATGACCCTTTTGTCGTCCTCTCTTCTTTTTATTCATCTGATTTGTGCCTGTTTTGTTAAATACTATAGCATGATGGAAAGTGAGGAACAGTTTGTCAGCAGCCATACTGTAGATAATAATCTTTCTGTCCCATTTTCTTCACCACACTTCCCACTATCGGAATCTTGTTTGCTTATCTGTTACTTGTTCATTAATGTTCAGCTTGCATCCCCCACAAGAAAGTAAGCTCCATGAAGCAGGAACCGTGTTTGTCTGCCTGCATGGATATGTTGTGCGAATTTTAATTTTGTTCTGCTGCATCAGAGTGTGTTGTCCAATATACAAGGCACAGCAGCTGCTGACTGTATGTGATGACAGCTCCTTCGGTACTCTCGCACCAAGCCTGCTGGAACTTCCCATCCTCTCCCTCCTTGTTTCTTTCTGCACTCCCAAGTTTTCAATTCATCAATTCTCTTAAGGCTTAAACTTCAAATTTTGTTGCTCCAATGTCATCTTTCTTTGTAGGCTTTTCTTATGATCTTACCTGTCCTTGATAGTGTATTTCATGAATGGTTTCTCTTCCTATATTACATTTTGTAAGTGAGAGCTCTTTTCTATCATTGGCTTTTTCTGTCCCATCCCCTATGATTTTTTTCACACCCATCTTTAATAATTCATGCAGTGTTGCTCTTTTGGCAGACTTGGCTCTGTGTGACAGCTTCTTATGAAGTCCTTAGAGTATACGATTTTTTTTTCCAACTTTTTTTTTTTTTTTTTTTTTTTT